AAACAAAGTTCAGCGTGTCCGTGCGCGTGTTTCCGCTTAAAAGTTTTCTGTTTTCACAACTGGTGTCGTCAGCAAAAGAGTCGCCAGAAATCCTGGATTTCGGTGGTGTGGCGGTGGCTAATTGCGATTTAATGACGATGACAATTTGATAAGAGGATTTGCTGCATTGTCCATCCGCCCCCCCTCCCCCGCCACCCAAAAACAGCAATCGACTCTTGTCTGACGACCATTCCCCTAACTGGAATCAGCCATTGGGAAGACAATGCAATCACATGAGCATTTTACGGGACACTGAACCAAAGAAAACTTCTATAAAGAGTCACACAGTCAGCAGGAGAAGGAGGAGGAGGAGGAGCAGGAGGAGGAGGACCAGGAGGAGGAGGAGGAGCTCGAAGCTGGATGCTTGTCCACGTCCAAGGCGCCACACAGCCACCAGACAATGGCGCTGTAAAATAACTGGAAAAATTGAACATGAATTGAAATAAAAGCGATTGTAATTGAAATTGAAAATCCACGAAATTGTTGGTTACTCTGATTCTGTCATCAAAGGAATTTAATTTTGAGCGAAATTCGTGGCCGAATTTGAAGATTTTTTATACCCGGAAAAGAAAATACCAGAACTAGAACAGGGATTGAAAAATATTCTTAAAATTTATTTAATATCAAATTAAAGAACAAAACCATCCGTGGAACACTTTCGGGATATTTGAGCTGTGAAAATTATTTGTATAATTTCCTTTTTACAGTAATCATCGGCAGACCTACGGGGTACAGGCCATAAATTTGACTTTTTCACCACTCCGGTCTGTGGGTTTTTTTCCACACTTTAAGTCAAGGGATATTTGGAACTGTCAATAGCATTATATTTACTTTCATTTACAAAATTTTGTTGGTTTTTATTGAGGTTTCACGACCTGCGCTCCCCCGGGCCGCTTTGATGTGGGTTTGCTTGGGCACTCGCATATACACTACTGGCCAAAATAATAAGTACACGCTTATGAACTTTCTTTCACGTCCTATAAAACTTTTCTAATAAACATAATTAAAAAATCAAATTTACTTTTAGGTTTCTAAACTACAATAGACTATAAAAATGTTTGTCATAAGCGTTTTTCATTTCAAATATATATTTTATGATCGATTAAACCTTAAAATCATAAATAAGGGCTGGCCAAAATAATAAGTACAGCAATTCTCCAAAGCGAAAAACTAAAAGCGTATCAAAATGTTTACACTATTTTCTTATAATTTATAATCTTTTAATAGTATCCTATATAGCCACACTTATTTTGGATGATTTCGGCCATCCTTCTTGGCATACTAGCAATAAGTTTGGGGCAAGTCTCCACTGGAATCTCACACCACGTTTTTTGCACAAATTCTCCACAATTCTTTTTCTTTTCGAAAAGAATTTTTACTAATTCGACGTTTTAAGTCACCCCAAAGGTTTTAAAATGAGTTTAAGTCAGGAGACTGACTTAGCCAAGCCATAACGTTTACATTTTTTCCCGTAAACCAAGCCTTCACCACCTTTGAGGTGTGCTTTGGGTCATTTTCTGGTAGAAAGACCCATCTCAAGGGCATGTTTTCCACAGCACTAGGTTGTATAATGTCTGTCAATATGTTTTTATACCCGAATTGGATCACATGATTAGTTGTGTGATGTACCGGCTCAACGCCATGCCAAGAAAAATATCCTCAGATACCTATACATCAGCCTCCGTTCTTAACCGTTTTCTTTGTGTACCGGAAGTCGAATTCTTTGCCTTTGGGTCGTTGTATACATCTTCTGGAGTCATTATCAAAAATATTTATTTTTGTTTCATCTCTCAATAATATATTATTCCACTTCTAAGACCCATCTGACCCAGACCATGCCAAATGATTTTCAACGACTTTTTGCATCATCTTCAAAATTTTTACTCGGAGTAAGGGAACTTTTCGGACTATACGTCCTGTTAGGTCTATATATTGAAGTCTCCGACGAACCATCAGACCTGATTTTTCTTTCCCAATTTGAGCGTATTTGGCCTTGGAAGACATGAACTGATCCTTTTTTGCAAGACTGATGATGCGGGTGTCCGTTGTTTGTAAAGATTTCTTCTTCCATCCTCGATTTTCAATAAGCACTTTAGATTTGAAAGTATTCTGAACCAAAAATGCCGATCGTCCAAGACTTTTCGCCATTTTCCCGGAGAATTTTCCTTTCTTTTTGAAGACTTATGGAAAACTTCCTTTCTTCAGGAGTAAGGCCTATCTAAAGAATTTTTTTTTTAACTCTCATGTACTTAAATATGAAGGAACTCAAAAAAAAATAACAATCCTTTGACCAAATCCTTATCCAATCCTTTCAAATATATAAATGACACCAGTGTACTTATTATTTTGGCCAGACCAAAAATGCCCATTCTGCAAAAATGTATGAATAGAATTTTATTAAGATGGTTCCCCACTTTAATTTTTGATTTAAATAATTGGCAAGACTGTAACCTTTCCAAATATAAACAATTGGCATCCATACACTTACAAAAATTCGAGCTATTCCATAACAAACTAGCACGACACCGATGTACTTATTATTTTGGCCAGTAGTGTATATTTATAATTATTATTGGCATTTTCAAGAACGAACCCAAATATGGTCCCCCTCCCCCCCCACACTCGATTGCTTCTGTTTATGCCGCTTGAACGCTTCGTTTGGACCCTTTTCTGAGGCCTGGCCCCATGATGGCGGTCAAAGTCGGCCATTTTCCTGTGTTAAATGAATGCTGATACCGAAAAACACCGAATAAAAATAAAATTTGTTCAGCCCTCAAAGAGCGAAACAAAAACTTTTGTCTGTCACTTTCGCGCTTTCAATTAATGCGACAAATGTGTTTGTCTTTCGGTATGTGTTTCCTTTCCTTTCCCCGCCAGTCCGCCCTAATACGTGACTCGTCCTCGTCCTCAGCCGAGAGTCCAATGACTTTGCCAAAGTGGCTTTGTTATGCCATTTTAGAACGGCTCTTAAAGACGGTTTCACTACTCTATGACTTGGACTTGGATCAATTAATATGTTTGGGTTTCGCTTCGGGCCAGGCCAAGCCGATATGCCAGCTCCAGCTCCAGCTCCAGCTTCCACTTCCACACAAGTGCACGCGGGTGATATAGAACACTTTGAAAAATTTAATGTCCACAAACTGTCATAAACTGAAAATGCACAGTGAAAAGCCATAAGCACAGCGGGGAGTGGGGGGATGTTCGCGGGGCGGGGAAGGGGGGGAGGTGGTGTCGATGAGAAGGCAGCTGCTAAAGCTGTCAGCCAAAGAATTTAAGTTTCGACAGGGACTACTACGAGCTCTGCTCTGGGGACGACTGCGTGCTGTGCGTGAAAGTGCACTGAAAGAAAATCGATTTGGCATCACACAGAAAAGAGGCTTCAGAAAAGTCCCTTACTTTTCTAAAGTTTCCTGTACATTGAGTGAAATTATTAATTCAAGCTTCAAAGTTTTATGCATCATTTTTTATTAGTCATTGGATGGCCGCCAAAAAGGAGTGTACACCCAGAGAAATTCCTACAAAGTGTTTTATGTTTCAAATAAATATGGGTTGTATTTGTTGGATTTATGGCACATTTTTGTTGACTGTGGGTGGCTTTTCTTTGAGTGTAGAGCAGACCGCAGGCTGTAAGCGAGTCGAGCATATAGATATGTGTGTGTGTGTACAGTACCGCAAAAAGTCATTCACATGAATAACCCGTTGCTCTGGCTTGGTCCCGGACATATCATCGCACATTCTACAGGGCGGAGCAGGGCGTAGCAGGGCGGAGCGGAGCAATCTTGAGGGCTGGGTGGGTGGCGGAGGGGACCTTCTCGGGGCGTGTATTCCGGGAACGAAGGCGGGACGAGACTGTCACTTTCTGCGCCTGCAGCTTTCATTAGTTAAATGTCAATGTTGTGTTTTGTGTCTTCGCCTTGGTCCTGATCCTGATCCTGGCCCCGCTCCCGATGGTTGGGTTTTTTTTTCCATCTTAATTTTAACCGCATGTTGTCCTCTGTTCCTGTACCTGTTTGTGCCGTCTATCTGGCTTCCCTGCTGCCACCTTTCTGTGGGGAGGCTGTGTGTGTGTGTGTGTGTGGCAACATGCTGCTGATTAAATGGCACGCAGCTGCAGCAGGCGTCCTGCATTAGGAATACTCGAGGCACCCGCTGGGTGTCCTGGCTATCCTGGCTGTCCTGGCTGTCCCGGCGCTGGCTGTAAGTAACGATATGCAAATTAAAATTGCTTTCTTGCGCTTTGCCGGGTGCCATCGATGGCACCGTGCACTGAAGAGTCCTTAAAGTCCTGCCACACTTTAATTATCAAAGAAACGCCTCGCATTCCGGCCGGAAGTTGCGCCTATTGCCGGCCAAAACGGCCACTTACATAAGATCCCAATATGGACGCGATGTCCATGGCAACGACTCCTGGCAGTCGTCGTATCGTATGCAAACTTTATTAATTACGCGCCCCAATGGCCAGAAGACCAGAAGACCAGAAAACCAGTCCAGTCTTGTCGGTCGGTCGGGGGTGGTCGTAAACTTTCGCCGTTTGCTATATTTTCCAAATGGAGTTGTTCGTCTCCGTCTCCGTCTCCGTCTCCCCACCACCGGTATCCACATGCAATTTGCAGCCAGAAGAACGAAAATCAAACAGAAAATCCAACTTTTTTTTTAATTAAAAATTCAGCGCTTTTCATTTGGAAGCACGTGGAATTAACAACAGAGAGCAGAAAGCACCAAATAAATATGTACGTAAGCCAAGCCAAACAAATGCCAACCAGTAGAGGATAAATGCAGTTCAATGCGAATTGCAATTTCAAACCAAATCACCGACCATCGTCACCACAAGGAGAGGAGTACCCATCATACAATTAAGCTGAATCTGACATCAGGTTGGCAGCCCCGTTCACAGCAACCCTGGCTCGTTTAGACGTCGCGTCGCTTCGTGTCAGATGGAAAATTCTAGAGAATTCTAGAGTGTTCGGAAATCTGAAATAGACTTAGCTCAAGTAAAAGCCGCAAGAAAGGTGAGTGTGACACGGCACTGTTTAAAGGGACACTAATTCCTTGAGATTTTCAAGGCAGTCGTTTGAAAATGTCAATGGAAACCAATGGAAATGTGGGCAGTGACGGCATCACGGGCTTGACGCCGCCACAGCTTTCGGAAATCGGCTTGGGCACGGCCACAAGAATTTCCAAGATGGAGGTGGAAATGGAAAAGGCAACGGCCAGCGGCCAGCCCGATGGCGATGGCGATGACGATGGCGATGACGAGCTCTTTGTGAAACGGCCCGCTTTCTATGGGCGCAGTCCAATGAATTTCCTCTCGCTGCCCGGGCAAGCTCTGACAGTGGCCAAAGCGGCGAAGGATGGGAACGTCCTGGCCTCTTTCGTCCACTTAATGAGTTGCTTGCCAGCGCAGCGCTGGATGTGGTGCGAGTTCGCATATTCGTTTATCGACGAGCCCATAGCGGGCAGCGCCTTCTACGATCTGGACAAGCTCATGAAGGAATTGGGCTGCCGGATCAGCACGCGCACCATGCCGCGCCGCTGCTGGCAGCTGGTGCGTCAGCCGATCGGCAGGCCGCGACGCTTCTCAAAGGCCTTCATAGCCACAGACCTGGAGGAGTGGGATCACGTGCGCGACCTTGTGCGCCAGATGCAGAAGGGCATCTTCGATGTGAAGAAGCACGAGAACGACTTGTCGCTGCTGCCCAGTCGTGTCCCGATGGCGCTGGCGATGGACACCAAGGTAACGACCTACCTGCCGACCGGATTCGCCCATGGGCTGGTCGTCAGCCACGAGCCCAAGACCAACACTTACCTCGTGAAGCTGAAGATGAGTGTTGGGGGAGCCGCCAAGGAGAAGGTCAAGCAGAAGGATAAGCAGAAGGACAAGCAGAAGCAGAAGGGGAAGGAGAAGGGGAAGGAGCAGGAGGAGCAGTGGCTGCGTCTGCTCGACAAGAAGCTGCAGGGGGACATGGTCTGCGAGAGTCTGCCACTGCCCATAATGATGGTCACGACCATTGAACCCGTTCGTCAGAAGGGTGCCTCCAAGAAGGACGAAAAGTCGGCCACGTTCTCGAGTGCCGGCTTCAGCAAGACCCTGCTGGAGTCCGTGGTGGCGATTAAGAACCTCATGGTCATCAAGCAGAAGACCGTCGACGATTTTATCCAGCTGAACAAGGAGTTCGAGACGCTCAGGGCTCAGCCCACGGTTCGTCGTGACCCGAAGTCGACCGCCGAGCGCGACGAGCAGCAGCGCTGCTTTGCGGCCCACATGATCGCACTGCATCGCGTCAACGGGGACATTCTGAAGCCCCTGCGTATCCTCCATCAGTTTCTGGACGAGTACAAGGAGATGGAGGATCTGAAGGCCAAGACCATGACGGCCCGCGAGCGCTTTCAGCAGTGCCGGCTGCAGTCCGACCTCGATCTGAAGGCGGCCGAGGCTAAGCTCGGCCTCGTGGTCAAATCGGATGCCACACGCGACCTGATTCGCACTCTCCACACGATCCTGTATTTGTGCGGGGCATTGAGCAGCGAAAAGAGCGCCGACATTCGCACCATTATCGATGATATTATGGCCAGCACAATGGTGAATATGCCGCCCGATTTGAGTGCCGTTTTCAAGCAGATGTTATCCAATGTTACACCGCTGTGCGAGGCCTTTGGGCGCGTCCGCAAGGAGCCTACCTTGAAGGCAAGACCAATTGCTAGACAGCCAAAGCCAACGGGAAAGCAACCGGGAAAGCAACCGGGAAAGCCACTGGGAAAGCCACTGCCAAAGCCACTGGGCAAGCCACCGGGAAAGCCACTGGGAAAGCCTCTGCCGCCACAGGTAAAGCCACAGCCGAAGCCACAGCCAAAGCCAAAGCCACAGCCGAAGGTACAGCCAAAGCCCAGGCCAAACCCAAAGCCACAGCCAAAGCCAAAGCCAAAGCCTAAGCCAAAGCCACAGCCACAGCTACAGCCACAGCCACAGCCACAGCCACAGCTACAGCTACCGGAAATAAATTTGGAGGAGTTTGTAATGTCCGAAGCCATTTCTCTGCCTCTGGAGACCTATGACCTCTATCAGTCCTATGAGACGCTGGCAGCGCTCGGAGAGCCCGACCAAATGGACCAGCAGCACGATATCGTCTTCGACGACTTGATGGAGCCACTGCTGGACAATCTCCTGGACGAGTAGACGCATAACAGCTTCCTCTACATACAGAAATAAAGCCATGGCCCCAATTTATGGCATAATTACAAGCCTGGCCAAGTGCACTTGAAGGTCCTTGGTTTTTTTCTGGGCGGCAGGGGGGATGGGAGGGATGGCCCTTTACAGTCTTCTCTTGTACACGTTTCAATACTCCCAAACTATATCGATCTGTGGCGGTGGGGGAAAAGGAGCTGTCTGAGAATGGGTTCCGGAAGGTTTCCGGACAGCTGGAGGCGAGCCCAAAGGAATCCCAGCTTATGCTGGCAGCTCCATTCGGGAGCAAGCTGCACTCAGCTGCCGCCTGCACATAAACTAGAATTTAAAGTGTTTTCCATTTTTTAATTAGCAAATAGATGGAGTGCCTGGAGCTCGTAAATTGTGCGGCCTTTCGTTGGGGCCGTAAAGACATCATTAATATGCCCCCAGCTGCACTGCGGCTCCCCCTGGAAGCGAGAGCGAAAGAAAAATGATCAGCAAAAGACCTGGCTGGGACGATGTGTGTGTCCACTCCCTGGGACTTTATCATGGGATGTCCGCCTCGCCTCGTAAATATTTATAATGCATTGCAGATGCAGGGGCGTCGCCTGCTCTTTCTGTGCGAGCCTTCCGCCCAGGACAAACAAATCTAACAAATGGCAGCAAATAAATCGCATGGTCCAGCTTCCCAGGAGGACGGAGGACGTCTCTATCTGGGGCTCCTCTTAGCGGGGGAGGTGGGGGGGGATCCTAAATGGTTACCAATATGCCCCGCGCCACAGCTACTTAATGCATTGCAGATGACTTAAGTTTCTGTCTGGTTTTTTCGTTGTTTTTCGTTGTTTTTTGTTGCTTTTTGTTTCGGTTGACACTTGATCATTAATTATATTTGCGCGTGGCGGGGCATCGTTTGTGCGGGAATCGAATCTATATATATATAACTACTTAAGTACACATATACACACATACATACATATAGTATACATGTAGCCCTGAAAGCAATCATATAAAAACGCCAACTTAATTGATTAACGATGGGGCTGTGCCGTAGAACTCATGGTCGCTGCCGCAGGCTCGGGCATGGCTTAATCCAAATGGCAAAGAAACTTTCCCCACCCCCACCCCCTTTCCGCCCCCAAACAAGCGCCAACCGCGCGCACCATTTGCTTTATTAAATTGTCATCTATGGTGGGGTTTGTCTTTGGGCTCTGAGTTTCGGGGCTCATACAAAGGCGGAATTGGGTCAGAAAGTGGCCTGCTGATTAAGCTGGGGCATAGGAGTGAGGGTACTCGTGTCCACATCCACATCCAGCCCTCTATCCTTTCCCCCCTGCTGCTGTGTTGCCAAGGGCTAAGCATTTATCGCGCTGGCTTCTGCGAGGGCTACACTCAACGATGATCGACGAGGATTGAAGCCTGGAAATCAGTCGAAATGACTATCAATAGGAGATCGAAATGGAAGGAAGGATGCGTCCTGGGGAGACAGGATTTGCCACGGCTGTGTCTCTGATGGTGGTAGGTCCATTCTTTCTTTCCTTGAGCTCTTTCTGAAGAGCCAATATCCACAAAAATGTAAGGATTGGATAGAGATTTGTATAACCTTTTATGGGGATATATTTCTAGCAATTTTAGTGTGTTTTTTTTCAAGACTTGGGTTATTTATTGGCTGCTCTGCTGTTTTTTAGTGGGTCAAGGGCTTTGGTAATTGATTTCTTATAATTTCCTGGCGCTGCCCCCATCTGGTGTTGCATATTAAATGTAAAATTGATATTCTCGTCGCCCTCCTGGAGGACAACAACAGCACAAGCTGAAGCATTTTGTGGGCCTGTAAATCAAGGAGCGCGTGTATGCGTGTGTGCGTGGATGGGTGGATGGGTGGATGGGCGTGTGTGTGTGGGTGGGTATGGGTGTAAGATGATTTATGAAACGAGCAGCAGTTTGTGGCGGCTGCCGCCGGACACCGGACATCGGACACCGGACACCGGGCTCTGGTCAGCGGGACACAAATGCAAATGTGCAACAAAAATTGGCTGCCACACACAGCAAACAATTGGAGGGGAAAAAGAGCAGCAGAACAGCCAGAACACCCGGCGGCATTGATGGCACAAAGCGGAAATAATGGCTTGAGTTTGGTTTTGGCTTTGGTTTTGGTTTGGTTTGGTTACGTTTTCGCTTAAGTTATAAATTACAATGATTGACGTTGCTTTAAATATTCTCGAAATATGTGATACATGTGTGTGGCTATTTGTTTAACTGAAATGCAGGCCCGTGGCAAGTCCTTGCAGGGGAGTTTTTATGAAATATTTAAGTTTTGCCGGGGAGCGGCAAGGCTGCAAGCTGTCTGCTGCATCTCTGAGTAAAAGTCAGTCGGTTGAGAAGGGTCGGCGACAGGACATGCCCGGAAGAGGATACCCTGTCTGAGCGGAGGGCGGATAAATACTTTGAATCTTGCACCATGAATGTCCTCCACAAGGGCCCAATGTTTATGGGCACAGCTTAGGCGCTTCGCCTGGACTTCTAGTCGAACAATCACAGGCGAGTCGACACAGGCAGTAGCCTTGCCACAATCGCCTCTCGCCTTTGGTGTGGATATGCAAATCGTTTATTTATTCAACTGCCATGTGGCCGTACATTCAGCCCAGCCTTGGGGGCACTGCATAAAAGTATACAGTGTCCCCCAGCCAATATTCATGCTTGTCTGCCGTCAGATCTGGCATCTCTCGAATGAGTTTTTGGGGGACATTTGCAGACACAAATTATAATGTGCTATAATTTGGTTTAATGTACGCACATTGAAACCCTAACCGCAGAAACAACAACAGAACAAAACTCCCTTATTGCCCCCAAGGCCGCCCCTCCTACAGCTACTGCTGTGGCATTGCTCATACGCAGAGTGAGCCGGAAGCGGGGACTGCGAGCGGGGCCGAGCGGGGGGCCAAGGCCGGAAGGGACTCACTCCGTTGAGCTTGTATTCGGAATTTAAATTTCATGCGGCTGACCAAGGTGCACTGATTGCTGAAACATTGAGTATTTTAAAGAGCACAGGACATGGCACATATGGCCATAGCCTTGCCCTTAAGTGACTCTTTAAAGCCTGCCTGAGGAGCAATCCTGTGGCTTGCATAACCCATTTCGAAATCGAAGAGTCCTGGCCAGGTTAAGCTATTAATCGTTGTGTCATGTCCGTGCTTGTGGTAAAATCCTTAGAAATACAGCTTAGATGTTTAGCATTCGGGAAGGGGTGTGAGGAGTCGGGGGGTATGTGTTGTTTGTGCTTCATGAAACAGCAAAAACGTTTCAATTGTGTCAAGCTTGTGAAATGCAACTCGAAAGTCCCCCCCCCCCCCCCCCCCCCCCCTGGCAGCAGAATGCCCATCAGTCAGCAGCCGTAGAGATTATACCTACTGGAGACAGGGGCTTATCGAGGGTATCTCGGGGAAACGGCAACGTAGTCGGCCAACTAGGGTGTCCGGCGACAGACAAAACCCAAAGGAAACGGCAGGGAGGCAATACATTTTCCGCAAATAATTGCGCCTTGTGAACCCAGCTGATGATGCTATCTTCGGATGATTTATACGCAGATATCGGATAATTTAAAGTTGGCCACCATGCCACCAGATAGGGGGCCACCATTCGGAACAGAGAAAAAACCCGTAACATGATTTAAGCGACTGTCGATGCCCCGAGCTCGAGCCGGCACTAGTGCTCTGCCACCCCGCCCCCCGGCAGAGTGGATTGCGGCGACCGGCCACTGATTAGCATATAAATCAAGTGGATTTCAGCCTTCGTCTCGAGGTATTAATTAGGGAAAAAACAACAGCCCCAGGGCCCCCACTGAACTCCGAGGGAGGCCCAAGAAATTAACTTTTTCTTGTAAACTTAATAAAAAAGTTTCCGTTTCTCGGTGCTCGGTTCTTGGTTCGTTTTCTGCTTTTTTCTGGGTTCCGAAAAAAGTTTGGTCGAACTTTGTGCTTAAAATTCCATTTGGATACTATTGCCTCTCGATGCCTAGTCGAGTGGAATTTGCTTGTTTGTTGTGCCTTTCCGTTGTATTGTTTGCTATGGAGAATGCATTCCATGTGGATTTGCCACTTGCCTCTGCTTCTGCCTCTGCCTCTGCCCCAAGCCATCCATCAGTGGGCCCCATCTAGTGTTGGGTAAACTGCGAAAACTGGGAAAAATGTAAAGCGCTTTGCACTTGAGGAAATTGAGTTATGCTGCAAATCCACACACACACAAACCTTAGGTAAAGAGACAGAAGGTGCTTAGATATATTTCACAGGCGACAAAACTTTCAAGGAGGATTTCCTTTTGGGCTGCAATTAATTGGCGAGGCCCTGAGATACCGACTATGGAAATTGTAGTAAAATTAATCTGAAAATATTCGACACACTCGTAAATATATTCCTACAAATTTAATAGATTTTTAATAGATTTCAATCTAAGTAAATTTTTAATTTTTGTTTTCTTTTTTTTTTTTTAGAAATTAGCTTTACTTAAACTATGATCTAATATTAGTGATATTTACATTGGCTATGTAGTAATATTTTAAGAGTTTAGTGATTAGGTTTATATACAAATTTTAATGATGTGTTATTCAGCAAATTTTTGTATTTTTTATGTTCGATGGGTGGAGACCTCTAAGTAAATACTTTATTGACATGTGAGTGTTTCCTTTTCCCCTGAGCGGGAAAATCATGTACTGGCGGCTACAAAATATCTCCAATCTTTCGTTTTTCCTCTCACGCAAATTATCATATCGCGGGGCGGGCGGAAATTTCGAAAGTCGCGTTTCCTGGCTTTTTGCCTTGGCCCGGAGGCAGCAGCTTATCCCCGGCACGGTCTCGAGCTCTGCTCCCCCCCCGGTTGTTGGCCAATTTGCGTCGATTTTTCGCCCTCTATTTTAAGAGCCGTGAGCCGCCATTTGACCGGGGGCCATTCAACAGAGATCCGTTAAACTGCGGCAGATTTGAAAGCCCGGACAAGATTTAATGAATTTATGTCAAGGTGCGAGGGAATGTCTCTCTCTCCCTCTGTCCCTGTCTCTGGGCGCTGGGCAGTGGACAAGTGTCGGATTTGGTCGCTCGTAGGAGACAGGACCTGTCAACAATAAAGCCTGAATGCCATTTTAATTGGCGCATCGGGGCGTTGGCTGCTGGTCGAAAAGGCGCGAATCCTTGGCAGAGAACTGGCTCCCCCAGGACTGGGTACGGGGGAGGGGGATGCTCCGTTTGGCCTTCAGTCGTTGCGCACAATTAAAAGTTGTCCGCGATGTTTGCCCCCGGACCCGGACCCGGACCCGCACCCAAGCCCAAACCCCAGCCCAAACCCAAGCCGAACCACAGCCAGGGTCCATTCCGGTCTTGGCCAAAAGTAGCAAAATGAGCAAAAGTTTAGTGAATTAAGTGCATCGGAGAATGGCAGCCCGTGACGGTCCCGGGGAGTGGTCGGCGACAGCTCAAAGGTCACGGGGTCCCGGGACAAACTTTCCATTGATTTTAGCAGCCACTAGCAAGATTTCAGGGGAGACTTCAAGCCTTAGTATGCCCTGAGTTTAGAGGATACTTAGTCGATCATCAGACCACATTGATTCGGATACGGACTGAGAATGAATTTCGTTTTGTCGCGGCGAGTGCTGCGGATGGGCCGCTGCCAGGTGCTGGAACCAAACATATATAATGTCCGCCAACTGCTGAAGACCTTCGACACGATCGTCTACGCCGCGGATGGGGTGCTGTGGCGCCACGGGCAGGCACTCACGGGCGCTGCCGATACGTTCAATGCCCTGCGGGCGATGGGCAAGAATTCGTTCATCTGCACCAACAACTCGGAGGCCTCGTGCCGGGCCCTGAGCCAGAAGGCACACAGCCTGGGCTTCCTGATAGCCGAGAACGAGATCCTCTCCTCGGCGCAGGCTCTGGCCCGCTATATGCGAGAGCGGAAGTTCAATCGCAAGGTCTACATCGTGGGTGGCCAGGGCATCAAGGACGAGCTGCGGCAGGTCGGGATCGAGAGTCTGCCGCTGGACTTGGCCTCCACGCAGGAGAACTCCATGGTGGACCAGGTGCAAAAAATGTACTTAGATGCGAATGTGGGCGCCGTGGCCGTCGACATGGACTTACCCCTTACACTACATTCATTACTTTAGACAGACAGACAGACACCACGCTCTTACGGCAGTACTTTTGATACCCCTCGCTGTGGGGGGAATGTATGATTGTTTGATAATTAAATTTATGTGGCACTGGCGCGCCCTTTTGGGGGGATCCCGAGAAGGGTCCTGAGAGCGGTTAATACGATGTGTACCTATTATTTCTCGGTGCTGGGCTTGCTCTGTTCAAACAGTGCTTTTTTGCTTGGATCTGTTTCTGAGAAAACTCACAATCTAGTACTGGCTGTGTGGAATGTCAATTGTGGTTTGACTGCTTTATTGTTGTTTCAAAATATCACCTACGAGCAGTTGTAGTCCCGTGCTGAGCCATGTTCAAGCGTACCTGCACGGATCTGACCAAAATACCCATGGAGAAGGTTGACCACAATCGAATCGGTGATATTCGATGCCGACGGTGTTCTGTGGCACCTGAACCGGCCGATCAATGGGGCAGTGGAGACCTTTAATATGATCAAGAGCTCGGGCAGGCAGGTGCTGGTGGCGACCAACCATTCGGGTCTGCTCACCAAGGATCTGGCCGCGAAGGCTCACCAGTTCGGCTACGAGATCCAGGAAGAGCAGATACTGAGCTCGGCGCTGTCCGTGGCCAGGTTCCTCAGCGCGAAGGGGTTCAAAAAGAAGGCGTACATCGTCGGGGAGTCGGCCATTGTCGATGAGCTGGCCAAGGAGAACATCTGCAGCTTCTCTGTGGGCAAGGAGAAGCTGCTCAAGCCCATGGAACAGTTTGCCAAGGATATGTACCTGGATCACGAGGTGGGCGCCGTGATAATCGGCAAGGATGAGAGCTTCAATGTGCCGAAGATAATCAGGGCCAGTTCGTACCTCCAGGAGCCGAAGGTCCTCTTCCTGGGCACCTGTCTGGACACCGCCTATCCGGTGGGCAAAAACCGGATGATTGTGGGCGCCGGTGCCATGGTGGCCGCCGTGAAGGCCATCACTGGCCGAATGCCGCTGATTTTGGGCAAGCCGAATCCCCTGATGGTGGAGCAGCTGCTGCAATGCGGCGTCCTCAAGCGGGAGTCCACGCTGATGGTTGGCGACACGTAAGTGGTCCGTCCTCCTGCCCCACCTGCTCTTACCTCACCCGCCTATTCCAGTCTCTACACGGGCATTCTGTTCGCCAGCAACTGCGGCTTCCAATCGCTTTTCATGGGCACCGGCGTCAGCACCTTGAAAGAGGTGCGCCAGATTTGCAATGACGAAGGACACAGCAAAGTGGACATGATCCCAGACACCTATCTGCCCTCTCTGGGACACTTGCGGGAGTTCCTCTGCTAGATCTGTCGATCATGAACAAAACACATGAATGCATGCCCATCCATCTCGTACACCTTCTAAATGTAATGCTTTAATAAATTCTAGATTAATATGAGTCCGAACATTTTGCCGACTAATTGAAAGCCCGAAAGAAGCCGACGATGCTCTTACCACAGCCTCGATGATGTGTTTTTTGCCATCAATACTGATTGACTTAACTGTTATTTTTGACACATGCTTATACACAGATACACAGATACACAGCCACACAAGCCTCTTGCCACTATTTCAAAATAAAATACAAAATATACAAATTAAAATTGTGCATTCAAGGACCGTCCAGGAAGGGATGCCCTGTCTCTACACAGCATAGGTGAGCGTTTTGGTGGGCCTTCCTTTTGGGCCTCTCCCCTATCTTAAGGTCCTACTCGTTTCCCAAGGAGTATGTGAATGAAACAAAATCGAAGCAACGGAATTCTGGACCTCAAAATGTCCAAATACGGAAAACAGAGTCTCCTCCGTCTCTCCCTGGCGGCCCTGCTTCTGTTTGTGCTGTGCCTGCAGATATGTGCCGCCGCCAGATCGCGTCCCCCCAGACCGACTCCGAGGCCGAATTGGCGCAAGGGGTACAAGGGAGACGGCACCACCCACGAGCAGTTGGGTCTGGTTCACTTTTCTGAAGCTAAACTTTCCAAGTTCAATCTGTCGAATGTGTTGAACTATACGAAGCATGAAAACTACACAAGAAAGTTTACTGCTCTTTTCAAATGGTCGCGAGGCATTTACGACAAGTTCTTTCCAGTTAATGTGACTGTACCAAGGGGTAAGCGGGCCAAGGGGCCAAGATGTGGTTTTAGGCAAATGCCCAAATCTTTGTTGCAGGCTACCTTAGGTTTGTTGGAACGGAGAAGATGGCGCTGGGACGGAAGGTGGACAGAAACGATTGGGCGGCCTGGTTCGCCGCATACTGGCTGTTTTGGCTGTGGGCGAGCATTATCGTCGCTCTCATCGTCCTGATCCCTTTTTTTGGGTGAGTAGATCCCCGTTGGGTTTGCCTGGCAAGACCATTAAAGCTTTAGTTCATTTCTGTCCGTCTCGGTCTCGGTCCGTGGACCATCAGCGTTTTGTATTGCTGCTTTTGCTGCTGTCGCTGCAAGCAGGGCTGTCCGCCCTGCGATATAGCTGCCAATAGGAGGAGGCGTTTCATTTGGGGCACCTGCCTGGCTCTGATCATCGTAATGATCGGGTAGGTAATAAAGATGCTGTTGTGGAGATCCGTTTATGCCGTTTTTGTTCTGCTCTCAGCTTGTGCATGGCCATGGCTGTTTACTCGAATAGCTTGCTGGAACGCGGCCTGGCCAAGACCAAGAGGACCCTGGAAAGGGGTAGCCTGGACACCTGTAATTTCCTGTACGGTGTCCAGGAGCATATAGAGCATCTGTTTGTGAAAAACTTTGAGGAGCTGGAGACGCATCTGATCCATTTGATCATGAGTATAATCTAATTTCCATACCTCACCATACACCTCACCTCCATATCAATTTAATCCATTCCCAATCGTCCGTCTAGATGCACCTAGGCATATAGCCAAGGACTTGAACGATGCTTCAGGGGCTAATTCAATTCAAGAACTCAAATATATATTTGGCAATTTCAGAATCACTGAATATTATACTGACCACAACCATGATTTTCATTCGTATGTTGCGATTACCTCCATAAGACTAAGAGAAGGTACCAGTCCCCATTCCCCAGTCCCCAGTCCCCATAATCCCACTACGAGTAACATTGAATTTTGAAAATTATTTGAAACTACAGCTTTGCGGGGAGTGAAACGCGACATAAACTATGCGGCAACGGTGCTTTGTGGCAGCCAAGAGTGCATCAAATTTCTGGGTCGCTCCGATATCGAGTTTATCGACACATCCAGATGTCTGCATCCGGACAAGGTGTGTGCCTGTTAACAAATTCAAAAATTGACGGAATCTTCATTAAGAATTCTGAATCTATGCAGCTCCCCAGCGTTGAGACAATACAACATGGATTAAGGGCACTTTTTCGGCATGAGCGTAGACCAGATGAGGCACTGGCACGACTGCATGAAATAACCGTATTGATCAAGGAGGAAATGGAACGCGTCGCTGCACCAATGATCCGCGACATACAGAAGGGAAAGAAGCTCTTTGCCGATCAGGCAGACCGCATCAATGAAATAATTGAAGTGGTTATCAGTGACATTCATCTGGCCACACTGCGCTCGACGAGGGCCTTCGACGATCTGTACGTCCGGTTCGATCGGACCCGTAACTATGTGTTAGTGTCCATCGCTGTCTTTGTGGCTGTGGTAAGTGAATGTGGCGCTGAATGTGGCTTTCCTCCGAAACGGAACTAAGCTCCCAAGCTTCGTAATATTCCCTAGATACTGGTTGTCCTGATAATCGCCTTGGCCTTCGGCTGCTTCGGCAAACGTGTCACTGGAGTGAGAGACAATGGTATGAGCCGGAGGATTGGCTCGCACTTCATTCTATTGTGAGTGCCCCTCGGCTATTACGGTCTAGGCTAGTCTGTACTAGTCGTATCTGTATCTGTATCTGTATCTGTTGTCCTTCACTGAGACCCCCTTGGCTACCCCGCAGAGCCATGCTGTTGATAGTCTGCGTGATATCCATTATGCTCATGATTGGACTGTGCTACTTTTTGATCGGCGCCGTGGCGTACAAAGGCGCATGCGCACCACTTACCGAGAAGCAGAGGGCTGCCCGAGAAAGGCTCATCAGCGAGATCAAATTAGAGAGCGATGTCAGCTCTGTGTTTTCCTCTAGGCGGGACGGCTCCAAGGATTCCCTCAAGATATCGAATCTTATCAATGAGTGCGAAGGCGAAAACAGCATCTTTAAATATCTGCGAGAGAATCGAATCTACGACGTGGACGACTTGATACGAATCCGCGTCATGACCCCAATGGAAGCCGATTTCTCACTTTTCCAAGATCTAGATCTATCCGATTTTTTCCTATTAACACCAAAGGACATAGACGTGTACACGGCAGCGGCGAACTCGTCCCTCGACCGTGTCCATCCTGATCTGTGGTATGATACCCTATGCTATGAGTATGTGGCAATCGATTTTGAGAATCTCCGAAGGGGCCTGAAGAAATTAGCTCGCTCACTGCCGTGGAATTACTACCAAGCGGCAAAGGCTGCTTTCGAAAATGAATATGAAAACTTAGAAGCATTTCATAACGAATATACTCCGTTTCTGGAAGAGAATGTCGTGGAGGTGTTGCGCTATGCCAGTTGGATCCAAAGTCAAATTGAATACGAGTACTACAGCTTTGGCGACTCCATCAGACTCTTGTTAAAAAATATTCAGAATACCGAGATGTTTATACGGGACATGGGCAAGCACTACCTTGCCAATATTGGCAAAAATCTGACCACTGTGATTCAGCAACAGGTCAACAACTACATCAAAATGGTTGTCCATGAGGCAAACACTAAGGTGGGACACTGCCAGCCACTCACCTACATATATGACTACAGCCTGGACACGGTGTGCAGCGACCTGGTTGACCCCATAGTGAGTACTAGTTATGGTTGACCCCTTCCCGCCCCCTCACATTGATTTCGATTTTACCTCACCAATGACATGTGCCTGTAGATCGGCTGCTGGCTGGGCATATTGGTGTCTGCCTTCCTTCTGATAGGCGTACTCTGTATCGGCCATCGCCTGCAGTGCCTGTACAAGCAGATCCAGACGAGGCCCAGGCCGTTCGTCGTGGGACCGACCAAGAGTCACAGCTGTCCGTACTGCATTAGTCGATCGGAGAGGCTGGCAGGCGGTGATCCTGGTGGGTCTGGTGGGTCTGGTGGGGCTGCACATTGTCCCTGCGGTCTTCAGGACGACTTTGCACGAGCGGCGATTCTCGACGTGGAGCAGGCGATTGAAGCAACGACGAATCATCCCATGGAATTGCCCCTGCCCTTGCCAATCAGGGATCCAGAGCCCAGTACAGACGGGAAGAATAAGTTGGATTAGCCAATGGTAGAGAGTCGAATATTCGACTATCCTGTTATGGCCCCTGTTATGTCAAAGCCCGTCAAGTCTGTGAGTATTTAAAGCTTGTGAAATTCAATCGTCAATCTTGAGTGGAGGAGAAGACGAAGCAGAACTGTTGCCGAGCGTTTAGGCACTGTCGCCTTCAGATTCGATGGGTTTCCGGCGGATTAATTACATTTTTCGATGACATGCTGTGGCCGTTCAAAGGCAAATAATTAATTGGCAAACACCATGGCGGGGTCAACACTTTGTCAACGAATCAAACCGAAATTCTTGTCATTTGTCAAAGGCATGATAATCCCGGGCAGTATTAAAAACTCGTCAGGCAAAAAATACTTTCCCTGCCGTTGACATTATCAAGGGGCTGATTTATTATCATCCATTGTCCAGGGGCACTTCAATGTGGCAGGAGCACTGTGGCTTCTTTGGAAACTCATTCGTTGTTTCTAGGAAAGATCGGCGGAGAAGAAAACCCAACTGTGGCCTCTCTGCTGGTACTCCGGGGAAGTCCTCCTGTCAAACACACACTTCCACTGGAGCCCACATAAAGAAATCATAAATATTCAGCTTTCATCGGGCTCTGTGCTAATCCGCTCCCCCTTGTCCCCTAATTATTTGTGGTTATCGCAAATCCGAGTCCGCCTCTTATGGGATTATGGGCACGGCCCGGGGCTGGGCCCTGGCGCACGTGCGTTCCCCGTAATTCACTTACGAACAAGGATGTTTCCCTGCTCTGCGACTGTGTGTGTTTGTGTGTGTGTTTTGTGTCTTATTGTTATGGTTATTATTTAAATTCCTTTGTGTGACTTGTGCATTATTATCGGGGCGCCTGCTGACAACGTGCTCGGCCTGCTTAAGCATAGGTGCGTGGTCCTGGCCCACCCCCCCACCCCCCCAAGGTCGCCCTAATTGAATGGCAGGCAAAGTGGCCGTCCAAAGTGCTCGTTAGTGAATCCCCCCCCCAATCCCTCAATGTAGTTATTATTTAAAACTCTCCCAGACGAGGCTCTCAGACAAATGAAAACAATTTCGGATTTCTCATCATCATTTATTTGCTCAATCCTTGAAATTAGTTATGACGACTGTTCGGTTACGTATTCGATACAACTATACAATATTAAGGCTAATCTAATTCTAAATAAATAGTACAAGTATTTAGTTAACTGAGAAGCCCTTTGGGTTCTCGCGGGGGGGTGGGGGCTTGGTATTCCCAAATGATGAGTATTTCTTTTATTTTGTTACATGGTAAAATAGGGGCATTCTGTTCTCGTATTTATTGCAGGCCGGAGAGGAGGATGATGGCTGGAATTTCTTCGAATCCCGGACTCCCATTCCTGGACTTATTTTCAATGGAAAGCCGGTACATTTTCTTTGGGATCATTTATGCTTTGCATGGACACGTTATTTCGAAATATTTACACAAAACTCTTAAATATATTTTATACAATAGCAAAAAAAATTCATTTCATTTTATCTTAATTTGTATTTGTATTTTATTTTTTGTGTGTATTTAGAGTACTTTTAATTCATTTTTGTTTGAATACCTGAAAATGTCTTTTTCTTTATTTTGTTGTTGTTGTTGTGGTTGTTATTGTTGTTGATGTTAAATTGAGCTACTTACGGGACTCACAGGCGGAACCTCTCTGAGCCGAGAGCCGAGAGCTGAGAGCTGACTTTGAACTTTTGAGCAGCGTTTTAAAAACTTTTCTTTCCGACAAGTTGACAGATTGCCCCGCTAACCCCAACACTTTCGCCCCGCCTGTATTTGAGAAAAGTTTCGAAAACAAAAACCAAAATCATCGGAACAGCAGGGCGAAAAAATAAAAAAAAGAATGGAAATCATCCATCAAGTTTGGCTGAGAAATGAAATGCTCTCCAAAGGATATTTAATTAAAAGCACCCAAAACTTGATAATAAATAAAGAAGCGAAAAGTTCGGTCAGTGGGGGAAAGTGGGCGTGACGGGTCGGCTGGGTCGGTAAAACGATATTGCGAATGACTCTGGAAAACTGTTTCTGTCTAATTTAGTGCAAAATTGAAAGAAATTCGATTGATTGAGCAGTTTTTACAAGACAAGACGAGACAAGACAAGAAGACACTACAGTGGGGCCTGCTACTACGCGTACCTGTACTTTGAATTCGAGAAACATTTAAGGAGGAGGAGGCAAAGTTGCAAGAGGAGTAGAAGTAGAAGTAGGAGCAGGAAACACTTAACGCTTATCACAAAGTAACGCAACGCTTGGAGCGCATAGTTTGATGCCTTCACTACAGATAAAGATACAGATATATAGATACAGATACATATATTAGAGTATATTATATTATATTCGTTTGGATAAAGCCTGATCTCTTTGGATATATTTAGGTGTATGTACATGACCAGTGGACTGATCCCTGATCCCTCAGAAGCCCGAGGAGACATGCCCCAGCTTCTTGCTGTCCTGCAGCGTCCAGTCATAGCCAATGGCCGTGTTATTATTGGTGGCCGAATTGGTGTTCGTCGACACGGAGCGCTGCATCTCGCGAGCCGGAAAGTAGACCACCGGACCCGGTGAGGGGGCACGATTCCGCTTGATCTTGACCAGGCCGGGCGAGCCGGACACCTGCGTGAGTCGGACATTGTTCAGCTGGGAGGTGCTGCCGCCGCCCCCGCCCCCGCCGACGGTGCCCGTGGCCACCAGGTAGGTGGTGGTGGTGCTCCGCTGTGTGCCGTGCCGCGAGAAGCGGCCGGACGACCGGTGATTGATGGTGCCGTCGCCGTTGTTCGATATGGAGCTCTCGTAGTGTATAAGATCCGGCTGGTCACGACTCAGGCGCCGCTTGAAAAAAATGAGTAAAAAAATGCGCTTGAACTTCTCCCCGAAGATGATGTAAATGAGAAAGTTGACGCTGCTGTTGATCGTGATCAGCAGGTTGGAGAGCTTCGTCAGCTTGTGGTCGATCAGGTTGTAGAACGCCTCGGAGATGTTGAGGACCAGCGGCAGGAAGTTCAGCATGAAGAACACCACCACCACGCAGAGGAGCATGGTGGCCAGGCCGATCTCCCGCTTCTCGGAGCGCGACAGGCGCTGGCGCTCCCGGTTCGCCCGCTTCACCTGCCTGTAGATCAAGCAGTTGAGTATGGCCAGGGTGAGGAAGGGTATGATGTAGTTGATGATCAGGTAGCACCAGTGTATGTATATGTTGATGTAGGCCTGGTTCCGGCGCAGCCGCGACGGCCGCACGCAGTGCAGCACCACATCCGACTCGGGCAGCGGATAGGTGACCGTCAGCACCTCCCAGAAGCGCGGCATGTTGTACGCGAGGGCGAAGCACACGCACACAATGAAGTAGATCTTGGCCCGGCCGTAGGTGCACAGGGCGCGGGCCCGCAGCGGATGGCAGACGGCCACGTACCGCTCGAGGGTCACCGTGAAGGTCATGTAGATGCTCGACGTCTGGGCGATCATGGCAATGGGGAAGACCACCGGCGAGATGAACGGATACACGTTGTTGTAGTAGCCGAAAAAGTGCCCCGTATACGGGTAGATCGAGGGAATGCCGAACAGCAGAATGGAGGTGAGGATCAGCACGGTGTCGCAGCGGGCCAGGCCCGTCAGCAGGTAATTGATGCTGGAGCGCATCTGCGGACGGGACAGGATGATCATCGAGATGACATTGCCCAGGATGCCCAGCAGGCCCACGATGTTGATCAGGACGCCGCACACCCAGAACTCGATGCGGTTGTTCTCCAGCAGCGGATTGTACACCTCCTCGCAGGTGCGCGTCCAGTTCGGCTCCAGGTCGAAGTCCGCGTCGTCGTAGTGCGGATAGAGGAGGTCCGTCTGCAGGTCCGTGTGGTTGGGCCCGTGCGTCGTGTAGCTGCCGTTCAGGGCCGGCAGCCACTGCTGCACCACCTGCTCGTACAGCGTGGTGGGCACCGTGCTGCCCAGTATGTCGGCCATCTCATAGCGCACCGCATCCTCGTGGCTCCTGGCCGTTGCTGTGGCCGTGGCACTGGCCAGAAACTCATCCTCGCCGATGGGCCCCCAGTCGTAGTCGGTCGGCGGCGGGGGCATCACTCCCGGCGCGGGCAGCTCCAGGCGCAGCAGCAGCCGAGCGGCGGCACCGCTCATTACGTGGCTGGTCCTTGCCGGCGTCTACTCTCCGCCGGCTGGCAGTCTTCCTCGGTTCCTCGGTACTAGAGTGGCGTCCTGGCAGCGACCGGCGACTTGGGTAACATCTATGCAGCTGGCAGAGAACTTTCGCCCTAACATCAATCCTTCTGTGACCTGTTGTTCCACCTGTCCTTGCCGGTCAGGGGGTCACGCGGCGTAAAGAGCTCTTAGCCTTCCACTTGGCCCCGGTTCCGGGCCACGCGTCGCCGACACGTTTAGCTGCAACATCGGAAATGAGAAATGGAAGGTCGATTAGTTCCGTTCGGGCCCAGAGAGGCAGAGCTTAGGACTAGACTATCGATTTCCAAGAAATACGGACTGTGAACACGGGACTGCCCTCACGCCACATGAGATTGGGGTGTCAATTGCTTGGCTTTGGTCCGCCTTTAGCTGGAAGGCGCCTGGGGCAGGAGTACCCTTCTTGCAGGTAATTTGTGGCAATTATGCTTTAAAGAGCCGGGGGGGCAAAGGCTCTTATGTTTCACAATGGCCTTTTGTGATTGCTCATCCGCCTCACCCTGTGGTGGTCGTAATCGTATAACCTTCTGGGAAGCGGTTGAGCAGCCACATGACCCACCTGACACACCTGACCTCAGTTTCAAACGGAGTACAGCACCATACCGAGCATTTGAGGAAAGCATCCTAGACCATTATAACAGACTATTTGATTACACTACTCAACAAAACGTAACAGCGTGAACCGAACCGACTTCTTTTTATAGATTTTGTATCATAATCCTTTTTTTAATGGTCTTATTTTTCTTTAAAGGTTGTGCTTCTTTTTAACACATAACTTTGGTATCTGAGATCCGATAGTATTGAACTTTGCCCTTCTGGAAAGCTGATAAAAGCAGCTCTAAATCGGGTTCAGACAGTTTGCAGCTTGAGCTGACCGTCTGGAAAATATAAAGCTTTTAAAATCAGAATAGATAATTTTGAAGCCCCCCGCTATCGGAAAAAGTGGGTTGGTTCACATCGGTACCATTCTCGTATAGGTACATACAAATATTCGTCATGATTCATAATTTTTCCATCATTATTTTCCATAGAAACCCTCACATGCATCAACGTGCACGTCCAACTATCAGTTCCCGGACCATGGCCCGGTACGTATGCACACATATCCGCAACAGACCTCCAACCAGACCCGCCACAAGCTGCAATCTAAATTATGCCAGAGAACTAAACCAAAAGATGGGAAATTAGCTGGAACTGGGAGAGTAGAAAGCTTGCAGTAGACACACGCTCTCCTGTGCAGAACGCCATTGAATGTGGCTGTGGCTTTGGCAATTACGACTAAATGGCATATGTGTACAATCCTTTAATGCAGGACCTGTGTTGGGTCACACCCTAATGATTTAATTCACTTTATGGCGAGCTACATATACCTTTATCGGAGCTGCCCAGTGGCCCAACAAGTGGGAGCTCCAGTGGAAGGGGGCACTAAATCAGTTAAGGATTCGATGCCATTATTGTGGCACGTGTAAATGTCAGGAAATGCCCACTCTCCGCGGGCATTAAGTGTCACATTTTTGACACATCAATCAAGCTTATGTGACCAGCACCCAGGCCCCACACACCGATCCATCTGAGTGACAGGCAAAGATACGGATTGGGCCACAGTCCTCTGAGCAGACCCCGCGCCTTATGGCACATCGAGTGGCCAGACAAATCAGAGCACAATATCGAATTATAGCTGAATGTGCACTGGGAGAAACAGGGATTTGAATGCTTGATTTAGTAGATGTAACCATTCCCCGTCGGAATAAACATTTATTATCCTCTTTAGCGTCAATGCATAACGAATTCAATATCCGATTCGAGTGCCCGAATCTCGATCCGATTGTGATACACCCTGATGTAATTTATGGCCAAGCTAAGCAAAACAAAGGACCGCTATTGTATTTGTGGTTTTGTCCATTTATCCAGAGCCCAGAGCCCAGACCCCAGACCCCCCCTGGATGCTGTTCAGCTGGAGAGAGGGAGGCTAGCACGTGGCCCGGGTCCCACGTGACGTATGCGTGTTATTGGCGACATTTGCATTTGTTATCTGTGCAGCGGCAGTAAATTACATTGTGTCCCCCAGACCAGGTTGCATGTTAAGTGGTTAGCGATTTGCGGTCATTGGCCAGCACAAACACGCCATCCACGACTGCAGGTGAACCACCCAAGAGTGGTCCCTGGGTCCATGGGTCCTGGCTCTGCCTCCAGCTCCAACGTCGGCTCCTAATGCGATTATCTCAATTAGAGGCGGGCATTGAAACGCTCTTTTGGACCAACTGTCCCGGCAATTATAGCAGCAATTAGTTTTAATGTTTGTGACCCTTTTGCCACTCTTGACGGCCAGCACGTGTCCCCATTCGAGTCACACCAGTCGCCGCCGACCCCGGCCTCGCACATTCATTTTTTATTGCCCTGACACTGGTAAATCGCCCACACGACCAGTCCAGTCCAGTCCAGTCCCGAAATTGCTTTTTCCCCCGGCCAAAACGGGCAAGCCTCTGCTGGCCAACAGTTTTTCCTCGTTGTGGCAATGCGTTCGCTTTTTTCCCCACTTTTATGCCACCCTCTCAGAGGGTCTGTCGACTTTGACGCAGGGAAAGGCATCATGCCAGGTGGGCATCTGCTAGGGTATCCAAAGATTCGGCCCTTCGTTCTTGGTGGCATTTCCATGCTTTTTTCAGCTGCACTTTTCTTTGGTTGACCTTTTTCACTGTCATAGCACCGGCAAGGGTCAGGGAATGCCTCTACTAGGGCTCGGACGACTATGGTATATGCTCTTCTGCGGCCTAGAATCGGCACATATTGTAGTGTAATGTGTGGGCGGCTCATCTCTCATGCAAAGGGCATCTAAAATACCGCTGGACTGGTGCCATGGAGTATCCAACAAAGTACAGTGTACTCTTCAAGCCCCAGTGCTCTCGACTGGGTGTCCATTAACACAGCGCGGCTTAAACGGCTCAAAATGTTCGAAAATATCGAGGGCTTCAACACCACCAACACCAAAAACAACCGTAAGCTTTTAAATGTATCAAAAACAACCGACAGCCGACTTGACTTGTGGGTTCTTTTAGTTAAACCAAGCTTTTTTCCCTGGCTGTTTTACACGGGTTTTTCATAGCAGGCAGGGTATTTGATGCTTGCCCCAGTAGCAACAAAAGGTGTTCTATGGCGGGTATCCCACAACAATATACACAGTCCTGGCGAGGCGCACAAATGACATCCCTAAAGTCTTGCCCCAAGAAAGCCAAGTATTGCCAAATATCCCATCCGTTTAGATAGGTATCTTCCTAGTCGAAATGTTCGACTCCCTTTCTTTTTTTCGTGGCCAGGCACTTGAAGATAACGGCACATTTGAATGTTGAAACAATTAAGGGGAATGTTGGGAATTAAACGGAATGTTATTCACTTCGCAATCAATGCCAGGACGTTGGATTTTGGAGTTCCGTGAGCCACATGTTGGGGCGACGAATAGTTTCAATTAATGTTTAATTCGTTGACTGCCATTAAGCGTAATTATTTAGAAAGCAATTTGGAATCATGTGGAATGTTGTCGTTGGGCTAGTGTTGTGTGTGTGGCTTTGTGTTTGAGAGTGCACTTTTGGATGTTTGTCCAACGAGGCGCCAACTTGGCTTTCCCTCCCCTCCCCCCTCTGTCCTTTGGATGGCTGGTTCTTTTTTTTGGCATCCGCTATACGTTTTTTCCTTTTTCTTCTCTCTTGTTGTTATTGATTATTATGGCCCTACAGCTGAGAACAATAAATTAAAATATCTATAAATTATAATTCACATTCGAACACTATTCTTTGGTACATATTTATATTTTCTCTGCTTTCTGTGGAAATTTATTTAATTAAGCAGCTTAAGTATTATTAACTTATTCCATTGTGATTCCATGTGCCAGCGGAACATACCTACCTCTGCCTCCTACATATATGTACATATTTAGATATAGATTTGTGATTCGATGGCAGAGACAAAGAGAGTGAGAGAGAGAGAGAGAGAGATCGAACATGCGGTGGTCGAGAGCATATAAAGCCAGATAAAACATAGTCGTATAAAAGTCGAGGAATCTTGTTGGCGGACGGACCCAAATGAAAACACACAAAAATTATAATTATTATATAGACGGCCGGGGGGTGGTTGTTGGGGGGTGGGGGAAGGGGGGGGGAGGGCAGCGCAGAGACAGTGAGAGAGAAAAGCAAGCTCTTTGCGATTTATTTTTAGTTGACAGTTTCAAGGCTTTCGCTCTGCGCGGAACGTAACGGAACATAACGAAAACGAAAAGAAATGCGACTTTTGCCAGGGACCCGTGCTGTGGCCCGGTCTATACGATGGCACGGAATGGATGTCCGTCCGGGTCTGTGTCCGGGTCTGGTTCCAGTTCCTGTTTGCCTCGTCCTGTGGGCGCCTGTCATTTGCATATTTCTGTTGCAATTTAGGTTTTAATGAGCGCATCCAGCTTCCAGCTTCCAGCTTCCAGCTGCTCTAATTGTTGGACATTTTTCAAGCAATTTGATTGATCAATGGGTCTAGGTGTACGGGTGTCTAGGTGCTTGCCAGCCACACGGCAGTTATGCTTAATCATTCCGACATTAAGTGGCATGCAGAAGGCAGTTTAGGGCTCAAGACAAGGCCTGGCAGAGGTGGATCCCAGGATCCCTCTGAGAGAGGGAGAGACTACCTGGCATGCAAATAAACCAAGAATTTACTTAATTAATATGCAGTTTTGTGGACGAGAGCACCCTTTTTTATCTTATCTGAATGTGAATGCATGTGAATAAATGCAAAGGGGAGCACCTGGGGGAGTATTTCGGACAAAAGTTTTTGTTGCATCTATGTAAATTCTTCTGAGAAAATGGAACTGCTAGCCTTCGGAAAACGTACTTACATTTGTCTGCCAAAAGAAAACTGGACCATGTTTTTGCAAGAAAACCAAAACCGAAACCAAAACCAAAACCAAAACCCAAGCCATGCAATTTACTTAAGTGTTTGCTTTAGCTTGAACTATATTTATTTATGATTTCTGCATTGTTACGGATACATTCTGGGCACAAAGGAGCCAAATTGAATTTCTCCGAAAATGCCAGGAAAAACTGTCGCCTTTGCTTTGCCACGAACTGGATTTTCTGTGGCCATAATTGAAAATCCCAGGAAATGGCTAAACAAAGAAAGAAATCAAGTCCCAAATTTATGCCACATAATGCAGAACTTAAAGTGTGTCAACAATTTGTTTAAATTGCACTTAAATGCGCTGTTTTCAATGGGAAATATGCTGGTTGCTGGTTGCTGGTTGCTGGTGGCGGGGAATTATGTCTGTACTTTTTCCATTATTTAATTGGAATATTTCGTTAATTCCTGTCGCCTCTGGTATTTGTGTGTAGAGCTCTAAAAGCCCTTTAAAAACCATTGCGGCTTATTCCAAGGACAGCCTAATGGATGCATTAGGCACTCCCTTGGATTTTGCGGTGCAATCCGAAAAACTGGATCGTTCGTTGCTCAATTCAATTTGGATATTTATAATACATTAAAGGGCATTCAAGAGTGTTTCTTTGCGTCCTTGCTGTCACATCACTGGCTGTCAGAGCTACAATTGCATCCAGCAGATGATCCGGAGTCCCACTCCCTTCACGCCCATCCATAAGGCTAATAAAAATGTCTGTTCGAAAGGCTGGGGCTGTCAACAAGCCGCATCCACCATTCACCATCAACCCAATCATAAATTAATCTTTTTAATATTCAACATTCTGAGGCTTATCGACGGGGAAATCGCATCCATGAGGTTTTCCCAGCCAGCCCAAGGCCCGTCTCACGGATGCCCATAAAAAACGACAGACACTTGCAAAAATTTTCCTTTCTTAAGGAAATGTAATTTTTATGACATGTTGTTTTTTTATGCGTGTGTGTGTGTGTGTGTTTCTGCAATAATCTTATTAAGATTTATTTGCTTACCTTGGGAATTTAATTTGCGGGGCGTGCGAGCGCCTGGGAATCGCGTCGAACTCCCGAAAATCCTCGACTCATTTGCATATGTATATGAACGGCGGGGGTCGGGTCGTGGGGGGGTGGGTGGGGGTCACGAGATGTCGACACTCAATGCCAAGGGCTGTGTGGGGCTCTGTGGGGCTCTGCCTCGATGGGGTTAATTATATTCGGGAGATATGTCACTCGGCCGGGAATGATCAATGGTGCGATTCGATTCTGGCTGCGGATTTTTGGGGCTAATTTAACAATTTGTTTTCACATTTCACTGGGAATTCTTTTGGGGGGAAGCTTTTCATTTGTACTGTGCTCTCTCTTGGGCGGAATATACTTAATATATTTATTTATAAATCGTCGATACACTGCCCGGCCACACTTAAAAAAAATGTCGATCTGCGTGGTTAATGGCAATGGGAATATCGGCAGGAGTACTTCTTCAGAGGAGAGTTCCATGGGAGATATCACGGCACTTTCACTGTCACTTTCCCTTTCTCTGCGTATCACTAAACAAAAAATATGTGTATGTCCCTCTCTCTCTCGCTTGCCTTCTCGATCTATTTCTCTGTGTATCTCGCTCGCTCCTTCACGCAGGTATGATATTTTTAAACACAACGCCTAAGAGCGGCGCGAATTCGTTTTTTTGAATCGGTATTCGGATCCGAGTCCCGTCGGAGCGCAAAACACGTTGAATGCTGAAAGCCAACTGTGCCCCCGCCAGCCAACAGCAAAATTCCGCCAGATTTTCCGGCAGCTCTCGGGCAACAAAGTTGCCGCTCGGGGGGTGGCCGCAACATTGTTGCCAACGAGCATGCGCCCGCCCTCCGTGTTGCCAGCCGTTCCTGGGCACTTTTCATTCATAAACACGTCTGGCGCCACTATTACTGCAACCTGCATGTTGCTGCAACACAGTCGGGGGGTAATGCCAGTGGCTGGGGGGTGGGGGTGCGTGCGTGTCTGGTGGGGCAAGAGTGAAAGCCGGCGGACTATTTATAAGGCAAGTAAATGCCACGGGCCGAGCAATCAAGTTTTATACTCTCTATAATGACCACGGGCGCAGCGCAGCCACGACCCACTTTGAGCAATTGAAGAACGCCGGCCCGCCACCCGGCCCGGCCCGGCCCGCAGATACTTATTTCGGTTCGATTGCCTGTGGATGCCGGCCACTGCGGAAATGCACATCTAAACATGGAGCTACCGTGGCTGGGGGCGGGGTGCTGTGTTGCAAGGTAGGTGAAATGTACTCCATGTGCGGACGGGCAAGCGCTTGAGCAAAGTAATTTAATGTTTATTGTTCTGGCACTCGAAGAATGGGTAGAGGGTGGAGGGTAGAGGGAGCTCCAAAGACTCCGAGCTGAAAAGAGCTTTGCCCGCCAAGTGGTTTTGCGGGTCCAAAGTCATTAGCGTCTTTCGTCAACCCTTTGACCTCAAGAGCCACCAATACTTTTTGATTTATGGACACTGCTCCGAGCTTCTGGGGTGCTCAGACCTCCAGGAATGCACTGTGCCTCCCCTTCACTTCATTTATGCAACACCCATGAGCCAGTGGCATCCGCCTTCATCAGCTCTGCCCACATTCCGCCTCAGCTGGTGGGGAAGCCCTGCTCGTGCCTGGGTTTTAATTCAATTGAAGCTTTCATTGTATACAATGTATACATTCCGTTTTTGGTCCCCCCCCCACCCCCCCTCCCTTGATCCGTTTGTGGCATGTGCGTGAGCCATAGGAGGCGCCACAGAGACAACGCCCAGGATTACTCCTTGTTGATTTATTTTCCCTTTGAATTTCAGCTTTCCCCCGTACTTGTCAGAGCGCCTTCTCTGCGGCTTCCCAGACAGGTTTTCTCGTATATTTGTAATATTTTCATTTCTCAATCGCAAACTGTCAGTCAGCTTCGAGATGTATCCTTTCCTTTTGCGGTTGCAATCTTTTCTGAAAGTGTCTTTTTCCTCTCTTTTTTTGTTTGTGTCCTGCCAATCAATTCCATGAGTTTTCATTTACTTCTTTAGAGCGAAGGATGCTGCTGACTAGGAGGACGCCAGGCGAACGGTTCAGATTAATCACCGAGACATTTCCACTCGACTGCCGGGCTGCCGATCACCGCTGCTCCCAGCTGGACTCACTTGAATCGCGCAATTACACAACGGAATCTGTTGCCAGAAGCAGGACCCAGAGCCAGGACCCGGAGCCAGGAGTGTGGAGTGTGGAGTGCCATCCGATTGACAGCCGGCCAGCGGCTGGCTTTTGCCCGACAGCCAGATTTACGGAGGCCCAAAAACCGAAGGAGGCCGAGGCTGAGTTATCTGTCCCAGTGGGATTCAGACCGCAGAAGCCTGCTCCTGCAAATTCCCATAATATTTTCCCTTTTCGAAAATGCAGCAGGCACAGCATTCGGTGGGGCAGCCGGTGGGGCAGCCGGTGGGGCAGCCGGTGGGGCAGCCGGTGGGGCAGCATAGCATAGCACTTTTAATATTTGTCTTTTGTTCTTCACACTGAAGCAGCTCTTTGGAAAATCTCAACACTTTCCCCCCCCTCCCCCCCAAAGGAGCAGCTGCTGCGATGCGCATTTCGAGAGTCGAGAGTCGAGAATGCCAGATGTCATAGCAATATATGCGATGGCTTTCCGATGTGTTGGCATAGAAGGAGAAGGAGGGAGGGAGGGAGAAGGAACCTCCTCAATAATGATTGGAGGCGAGTGCCAGAGAGTCAGTCAGTAATTTAAGCCATTTATAAGCACTCCGCTAATGGGGCTAATGAACAGAAGGTGGCCTGCCTCCTAATCCTCAGGGCATAGCCCCCCGTCCCCAGGTTCAAAAATTTAGTGTTGAGCAAGTAAAAGCGGATTACAAATGCGTTTTGCTTAATTTCTGTCCTTCTGAGGGAAGGCAAGGACCCAAATGTCCTTTTGGACTGCAGCCGCAGTAAAGGCTTTGTTGTTGTGGATTGAAAGGGCCACAGCTGCAATGTTTTTTTCCATGAAATTGAGTTTTCAAATACCTATTTGATTGATAATTTCTTTTCAATTTATTCCTGCCACGCCCTGCGGCCGCCTGCTGCAGTGCCATGGCCCCTGCCAAGTGCTACATCATTGTCGCCACTCTGCCACAGCCACTGCCACTGCCACTGCCACAGCCACTGACTCAGCAGTAACCCAAGCCAAGCCTCAGTGACCTTTCCGCATGGCTGCCCCTCGACTCAGGGCTGGGGCCTCGGCTTCGGTTTCGGTTTCAGTTTCATCCTTAGACTCCGATGTGGAGTGGAGATAATAAATTCCAATTGAAATACAATAAAAAACTTGGCACATCAACAGAAGTTCGCATAAAGGATCTGTAGGCGAGCGGTGCCATAATTAAATGTAAATTTTGTCCATACATATCGGCCATCGTGGGCAATAATGCAGCAAATAAATAACGTTTTTGCAGTTGTAAATCCAGCCACTCCATGGCCCGCCCCAGGAGCGACTGCGTCATTGTGCGGAATGCGTCTGCAAAGTTTTTCGCTGCCTCCTCGGCTCTGGTTTTATCGCTCCTGCCACAGGACCTCCAGACATTAGCACTAATATGCATAAGTATGGCCTGGTATGCCATGGCCCCACCCATTCGGCAGAGGGCGCGGAGAGGCCCGGGCTTGACGGCTACCCTGGGATTCGAGGGACGGATGTGCCACCTTTCATTACCACTTTTTCTCACGGCCACAACTCCAGAAAATCGTTCATTAGTTTTTGCAATCCATTTTCGGCTTTTTCCCGCAACGAACAGCCCCCAGCCGAGTGCCTCTAGCCTCGTGCCTCGTGCCTCCCGTGCCCCATTCAAAGTGGCGAAACGGTGTTTGACCCAACAAAAAAGCCACACAACATGGAATTGCCCCTGGACCAGCCGGTAAGGCCCAGGGCGGCCCCTTTTGGTCGTCGACTCTTATCAACCGGCCAAATGACAGTTTTATGATTTCGGCTGCTGCTTATCAACTCCAGCGATGTCAGTGAGGCCAGCGGTGCATTATATTGCGACCTTTTGTGGCTAATCAAAAAGAGCTTACTACCTTGTTGTGGCCAAATCCTTTGGGACACTCCCACGGGGCCGCAGTGGAGATACGCGGAGCAGCAGGAGCCGCAGGACGGCAAAAGCAAAAGCAGGAAACGGATGCGAGCCAAGTGCCATTGCCATTGCCAGTGCCATTGCCAGTGCCAGTGCCAGTGCCAGTGCCAGTGCCAGGGCTCGGCTTACTCGGCGTGTGCGTGTCCTTTGACGTCCGCCAAGTTGGCCATAAATCAGCCACAACTTTTGACGGAAATTCAAGACCTCAGGAGCCCGGCCAGAAGGAACTGAGCAGAACGCCAGCCAGGCGGAAAGGACTTCAAGACGGCAAGCTGAAATGAGCTGGAAAAGCCACAGATTTAAACATTTTTCCCCAGAATATGTATTTAAAGGTTTCGGAAACAAAACCCCTTCGCAGCTCTTGCCAATCCTTCCAATGGTTGCGGCAGGATAAGCGACTCGATCTTGTTGGTTTATTTATTTACTTGTTACTTCAATTTTTAGTATACATGAATATTTTTTTTCTATTTTTAAATTTTTTGTCGATTAAATTATTTTCAATTCATTTAGTTATTTAATTAATAATATTTCTTTGGATTTTTTATTAAAGTTGACTATTTAATTATTTCAAATTCATGTAATTAATTATATTTAAATTTTTTTTAAATTATATTTTTAAATTTAATTTATTTCATTTTATATATAATTTTTATTTATTTATTTGTATTATTACAAATTTATGTTATTTTATTTTTATTTATAATTTTAATTTGAATATTTTTGGTTCTCTTATTTAATTTTTTGCTGTAATTTTGATTTTTATTTTGTATTATTCTGAATTATTTTTTGCGGCTCATCCAGAAGTTGCCCCTTTTCGTTTCTCTAGCCAAATGTTGCACCCAAAACTGTCATCGTTGGCATCCCTGGGAGCACAGAGCACGGGACTGGCTCTGGGAAGAAATCAATAATTTAAGTAAATGTTTTGTGGGCATCTGTGGCATATGTTTGGTTATCATGGGGATCCCCCGAATGCCGGCCGCACTCGTGCGAGTGTTGTAAGCCGGCAGATATGCACATAAATAAGTAAGCCTCGAGTGTTGGCCCACAGACAGACACAGACAGAGTTCAAGCCGAATTCGACCAATTGGCCAGTTTATAGATTTTTTTTTGTCGACCTCCCTTGGCTCTTGCTTACCTTCGTCTGGCCTGGCCTGGCCCATTGTAGTGCTGTGTGGTCTGTGATTTAGCAAACCCAAAGGACCGAAACCGTTTTCAAGCGTGGCAATCAGCACCTCCGTCCACATGCAGAGGCACGGACAGGGGCAGGGACAGGGGCAGGGACAGGGGCACGGACCCACTGGGAGGACACCCCGGACGGGCTCCGAACTTGGCCTTCCGCCTTCGGATTTGGCTGCGGAAAAAAAACAGCTAGCGGATGTTGTGCGCAACGAGCCGAGTCATGACATTTGCATAACAAATTCCAAATTTCATTCAGAAAGCTCCCCGGCGGCCTGGCTGGAAACATGTTTATTTTGGATCATTTCATTCGGCATTCGGATTACATACCATTCGGGGACTCCCCCATAATTAAGGATATATGTGTCAGAAATATCCAAAGCTCAAACGCTTGCCGCATGCCACAGGAAAATTTGCGAATTTTAAGCCGGCGAAACGCGGGCTCGAGGCCACCCAATGAGGAGGGGAATCAATGGGGCGGCGGAGGGAGGCGGAGGGAGTCTGCTTGGGTGCGTCTGGGTCTGGGTGCGTGTTCATCTTGTCGTAAAATCAAATCAGGGCCTCATCAACGACACAAAGTAACATTTTACAGTGGAACAGTGGAGTGTGCGAGGGGCAGAATTTAATTGAGAAGAAAAATAGATTTTCACATACAGAAATTGTACAATTAAATATATAATTAACTTTGACTTTTAATATAAATATTTTAGAATAAATATATTATATTCAATTTGTAGCTCAATATGCTAATTTTAATTTGTAGCTCAATATGCTAATATTAATTTAAAAAATATATATTATTTTTTTAAATGAGATTTAATTTAATTTTATAAAATATTTTCATATTAAGGGCAAAACCCAATTAAAAACTTTTTATTTATTTTTTTTTTCTCATTTTTTTTTTATTTATTTTAGATTTAGTTTATTGACATTTTTCCCCCCCAGGATATGACATTCACGAGTGTCTCCACCAGTACGGTTCGTTTGCCCCACTGTGCCACTCGGCTTATAGGCAACACCTCCTAACGGTTGACTACGTAACCAAATGACTTACGGGGTTTTTGCCATGCCCCGTAACCCCCGAACAATTTGCCAGACGAGCGAGTGCGCGGGACTTTGAAGTCGCGTCGCCTGGCGGCACGCATAGGCCGTGCATTCAACAACTCGAGAGTCTGTTGTAATTTGTTTATTTGCTTCGGGAGATTCATGGTTTCTTTTTCGGCTTGTGTTGTCATACTGGGGGAAGGGGAAGGGGAACGGGAGGGGGAACTCCTTCCTGTCGCATACGTGCCAGGATCTTCCTAGGGAATGAATCTGCGTGGGGGTTGTGGCAGTCAAAAATTGTAATTCAATTAGCTGCAAAAAGGCTCAGGTGCACACGGCCACACGTGCCACCGAGGCTTGACACGGGTCAGCGATCAAGTGACAGTTTCCCGAGCCTTTTGCGGCAGGGTCCTTTGGGTGGCGGCGCGTGCTCCAAGTCCTCGGTGCCGGCTCCCTGCTGGTGCTCAAAGACGTCGCTTGAGGACAGGCCCATCTCTCCCGTTCTGGGGCTGCGCCGGCACTTCTGCTGCAGGCCTTCCTGCACGGCGCGGGCCCGGGCCCGGGCGTGGGCGGCCTGCCGGTCCACTTGGACTCTCCCCTTGGAGGTTCTTCTGCGAGAGTAAAGAAGGACCGTCAGCGAAGGGCTCTGTAGAAGCTGATCTGCCATTCTCTTACCTCGTCGAAGCTGACCTGCTTGCCTGGCATTATTTTAAGTGAATTTTGTTTATTTTTTGGTGTTTTCCGAATGTTTTGTGTGTAGACACTGCCTGCCACATGTGGCAGCTCAAGCAAAGCAGACACAGACACACAGCCATCTCATCAGAGGATCTGCATTAGGCAAAGCCGCATCAAAGCGCTCGCCAAATGGCGCTGCTTTGCCCAGGGATAATCAATCAGAGTGGCTGCCCAGGCTCGGGGGGCTCTGGTGGCTCTGGGGGCTCTGGGGGCACTGGGGGTCTCTGCGGTGGCAGCCATGTGGCAAATGCGGCGGAAACAGCTCGCAAACTAGCTCCATAAATTTAAGCCCCGAATGGAGCGCCGCGCAAGTCGGCCGGAAGTATTTGTAGCTGCTCGCTCACTGCAACCGGAAATACAAAACAAATTCCCCCAGAGACACAGACAAAGAAGACTGGCAAGGGGGAGGAGGGGCAGGAGGGGCAGTGGCAAGTGCAGAAGAAATTAATGAAACAAAACGAGAAATTGAAAGCCAAAAAGCTAACGAAAAGAGCTCCCGGCCAAGAACGAAAGTCGAACCGCTGATATGCTTCTGTTTTTTACGTGGAAATGCGTCGGAAAATGTGTGCAACGGAAGTGGGAAAATTGCAGCTCTCAAAGAAAATTGAATTTGGTGCAAACGTCTTTGAAATTTCCCCCGAACGAACACTTTTGCCGCCTCTCGAGAGAGGCAGGAGGAGTACAAAACAATAAGAGCAAGACATTAATAATTCCCAGAGGTTCAAACTTCAAACTTCAAACGACATACTAAATTTTCCGAATGAACTTTTGCCTGATCTTCCCGCAGATTGGGCTCCAAAGGAAATGCCATTCCGATATTATGCTTTTCCGTTGATAGCCCTGCCTGGCGCAATCGCTTAATCCCACTGAATCGATTCCGAGAGCAGCCGCTCAAGGGGCCACCCAGCGAAGTGTATCCAAGCCGTGCTCCGGCGCGGCGGTTGCAGAGCAGACAAATGGCCATGGCAATGGCAATGGCAAAATGGCGCCACTTCCACATCCGTTGGGCAATAAACATTAATGCGCAATTAATGCCGGGTGTCTGTCTCGCGACGGGCCCCGTCTTCACTTGCCGTAATGCTGTCGTATTCCGGATTGCGTTGGCTTTGGGGTTCTGTCTCTCCCCCTCCACCCTCTGTCTGCTGTTGCCTCATCTACGCTGTGATTAACGTTTGGCGCCCTGTCCCTGTCGCTGTCCCTGTCCCTGTCTTATGGCCATTGAAATCAAGAGGGCAGGACAATGCAAACACGCTTATTTTTGGCCAGGCCTAGACAGACACTAACGTGGGCGGCAAGCATTTGAAGTGCCACAAAACTTTTCCATTGATGGAGTATCTTTTGAGTGTCGACAGCTTGTTGGTAAGCCCCGCCCCCGCCCCTCTCCCTTTCCGTTGCATGTTTGCATTCTGGAATGCCTGCAACGCCTGAAATTCGTGTTCTTGCCACTTAAGATGCGGCAATGTCTGCATATGGCCCGAGCAAATTTATAGCTTGTTTGTTCGCTCATTCAATTCGGTTTTCGGTCGTTGTGTAAAACAATTTTCCACACGAAACACAACAAAAAAACACAAAAAAAGCAAACCAAACCAAACCAAACCGAAGGGAAACTGTCTCGCTCGAGTGAATTTTATGTGTGGCACGTTTGGCAATAAATTTGCACGGGGGGCGTGGCGGTGGCGGTGGCAGTGGCGGTGGGTTTACAAAATGGCTGCTTAATCCACCATTTGCCATTGAGATGCCGGAGATGGAGATGGTGATGGATTTATTTGGTCTGCGGTTAACACCTGTTTTTGGTGGTGCCTTTCCGTGGCCCGTGACCCGTGACCCGTGTCCTGTGACCCGTGTGTGTGCGGTAATTTGATGGGTTTTTCCCCTCTGAGGACACTTCATGTGGCTTCTGTGGTGTGAATGCCCCCGCTTCCTTAACCCCATCTCTGATGCGGACTGGGTCCAGCGGGCTCTGCCTTTGTCTCCCCCGCCCTGCCCTGCCCGGACAAAGCATTCGCAACATTTTGGTGTCATTTATAACCCTTGGCCGAAACGACGAAACGATTTATTTTCCTTGATTTTCGTTTTTGTCTGGCGCCAGTCAAATTTTGATAAATGAAAGCATTTCTAGCTTTTTGCATACACTCCCCCCCTTCCCCTGTGGGGTTTTCCTTGGCACACATCTGGCAGCTGCATTTTTTCAGCTCCATTTGGCAGATGCCAAGGTTTGCTTTATCGCTTATCGCCCTATACGTAGGATCCATGTGCAGCGAAATCAAATCAAGGCTTGTAATGACAACAGACTGAATGTTGGATGCCACAAAAAATTAGTCCAGTCAACACGGGGGGAAAAGGCACAAGGCGGAGAGTAGAGAGCGGAGAGCGGAGAGAGTTTTGCCAACGTCAGTGCAAATACCGCAGTGGTTTTTATTGCCTTTCGTTTTGGGGATGGAGGGGATGGTGGGGATGGGATGGGTCCTGCAACAGCCGGCGCCTCCAAATTCCTCATGTGTGTGTCCCTGTATCTGTGTGTGTCCCTGTATCTGCGTGTGTGTTTGTATTCCTGCCAGTGAAAAATTGCTGGCCTGTTTCGCATTGATTTGATTGACACTTTTATTGACACACTGTTGTTGTTGTTGCTGTTGTTGTTGCTGGCCAAGGTTTTACGACCTGCCAATGAACGCGCATCGAGGGGGTAAGGGCCAGAGCCACAGCCAGAGCAAAAGCCTTTAGCCTTTAAGCCAAGATTCAATGAGCTGCTGGAACATTCTTTCATACAAATATGCGAACGCTTTTTATCGTCAATTGAAACTTTATTTTTTAATACTCCTCGCCCCACATCAATCGGCATCAAGGCAAAAATGGCCATCAAAAATCACAAATACGAGTATTATTGCTGACCCAACACACGCTCTGGGGTGCCTTTCGAGTGGAAAATATTTCTAATTTTGATGGGGTACTAGACCGTGTTAAGCTTTCGTTTTGCCTTGGGCTGCTGTGCTCTTTAAAGGCAGCGGCACCTGAATGGACCTTGAAGCCCAACCCCCCAACCCCCCTCCCCCACCACATTCCAAGTCCCTGCTGCTAGTAAAATGCTGGTCTCACCATGAATTTTCATGGTCGCAACTCAGTTTTTTTATGCGTGTGCCACCGGAACAATGGCCGGGCAATGAAGGCCACCGGGCATAGGGCCGCCCGAGAGTACCCATAAAGTATGACATTTGCTAGCCTTTTGTTTGGCATTAATCCATGGATCCTGGCAGGAACAGGAGCTCTAGATGGGGCCCGCAATCGCCTGGCAATTAATCAGGCTTCATTTTCACTTAATCGCGGCCATGATTTGCACGCAATATTGGCTCTATTACGGGTACGGGTAGGAGTACGGGTACGGGTACGGGTACGAGTACATTCCATATATTTTAACAACGCTTGTGGTTTATTTAATTTTCATTAGCCAGGGGTCCTGGGGTCCTGGGGTCCCGAGGTCCTGGGGTCCTGGGGCTCTGGGGTCCATGAGGTAATCGACAAAACGCCCAAATTATTTTCGCCGGTCAGTTGGACGGAAATAAAAACTTATTTTAATATTCGCCGCCTGGCAGCTGGCAACTGGCATTTTCTCTCAGCAATTTATGGTCCCACTTCCCAGCCCTTGACTCTGGCAACTTAATTACGTATTTAAATTCCAACTGTGCCGCCGAACAGCAGCAGAATCGCGATTGCGGTTGTCATGTTGCGAGCTGTCGTTATGAGAAAACATAAACAACATGGCGCCGCCGAGGCCAGGCCCGGTACAGGGGAAACCCTTTGTGCAAAACATGATAGCAGCCAACGATGACAAAGGAAAGCCTCCTTTTCACTGCTCAAGGCACCGCCCAATGTGCAGATCTAAGCGACAGGCTACTGTGCGGCATGGCCAAGGCCACGAAGGCCTATTGAAACTTTTGAGTGGTCATTAACAGAATCTGTACGAAATCAGAGGGGACATCATTTAATATTACACAACTCGTAAATGAGGCGGAGCCAGACAGTAGTTTCGTTATTACGAAATATGCCGAAAAATACGAAATATGAAAATTACAATAAGAAAAGATTTACAACATTCGTTGGTGGTTAGCTAAGGGAATCCTCACTCGACGGAAAACGTACAGTCAGAGAAAAAAAGCTTAGTGAAACGAGCACACATCTGCATGTGGCAGCGCCCCTCGGCAGGTTGGGCGGTGGCAGGCAGGGCGTAGCAGCCTTCTGCTGCTGCCACATGATGGTGCAGTAATTGCATATCAACGTCCAAATCCATGGAAAAACAGCATCCGTATTTAATTAAATATTCCGTTGTAACACACAAAAATAGTGAAAAGGAATTCATTAGTACTTAAAAATAAATGCATTCAAATGCAAATAAATATAAAACATCTTAGAATAATTTAATAAATATTTTAATATTATTTTATTTTATTTTAACAATTTCCAAAGCCGGTATTAAATTTTAAATTAGGTGATGTGCTTTCAAATATAAATTTAATCTTTAAATGAAATTTATTTAAATCAAATCTGTTCATATTAATGCAAAAATATAAGGGAAAACACTTTCTTTTTATGATTTCCCAGCCCGATATTAATTATTAAATTAGTTGTTATACTCAAAATGAGGGGTATAGGGGTATATTCGATTTGTGGTGAACATGGATGTGTGCATCGTCCGAGCCGATTGAGCCCTGTCTGTCCTTCCCTATGAGCGCCTACTGCTCAAAGACTATAAGAGCCAGAGCAACGACATTTTATATCCAGACTTCTGAGATATGTCACTATTACGAGAATAAATCAAAACTTCGCCCCGCCCACACAAAGGGCAAACATCTGTGGCATCCACAATTTCAAAGATACGAGAAAACTGAGAACGCAGAATAGTAGAGAATGACTATATCTTTTAGAATGCAGATTCTGAACCAGATCGTATAATTATTATAGCCAGAATGCTGAAAACAATTTCATTCTCTCTCGCTCTATCTCTGTC